TGATAATTTTTTGCAAATGTTTGCTATGAAGTACAATTAATCAAACTTTAGCTACTCCATTTATTTTAGGTTATTAATTTATTATTTTATACAATCTCTCTTTTTATTATTACGTGATTTCATAAAATAAAATGAACCAGTATAATTTTAAACACATAAAATACATATATTGACTTGATATAAATATTTAGTAGGAATAAATTTTATCCATACCCACTTTTAATTCATACAATCCTAACTTTTTCATATTTTAATTAAATATAGAAAATAAATAGTATTTGTACTGTGGAATTTGTCACATGGCAAGTGGAAAAGTGGGTCATAAACACAAATTGATTTTTACTTGCATGTGTTAATGTATGTACACATTTCTTTGATTTTACCTTTTTTTTTTTGCAAATCCATGTTTAATTTATATTTTAGCTTCTAGAAATATATTCCATGAATGAAGTACCAAATCAAAAAGTTATTAGTAAAGGGTCAGGAAAATAAGAAATATAGTAAATTACGAAAGCAAGACAAAGAAATTAACTTAAAACAATGTAACACAAAAAGTAATTTTAAGTCATATATATATATATGTATGTATTTTGTGTATATATTTAAAGTATATATCATCTTTATTGTACTATTTGCATATAACTATGGTTTTTTTGAAGAATGCAATTCAATTAGTTAGTTTTAGCTTTCCAAATTTCTTCAAAGAATCAAATACTTTGCTCTTCTGCAGAAGCTTCACAAAGTTATATTGCCTTCCCTTTTCTGATTTTTCTTTGTTATGCCCTTTCATTTTCAACTATTATACATATATATGTATATATCGTTAATGAATATATTCCTAGCACAAAGTAAGTCTAGACATGTTTGACGGACCTTTATTTTTGTGGTAAATTTGATACCTAACTTATACTATATCACATCATTGTTGTATCTCAAAGGAGATGATTGAAAGAACAATGTGGAATGCTCATAACATATTTTTTCGACATAATTTAAGATTTAAATTATTTATAAGTAGATCAATTTAAAATATGTGTTTAAACGTACTTTCATATTAATATTTATTTAGAAAATGATTCGTTAAAAAATAACTGTATTTTCAGAAATAACTATTACGTCAATAAAATATCTTGATTTAGATTTTGGAGGAGTAGTAATATTGTTTGGTATGTTTGTGATGTGCAATTAATTATTCTACACTTTGCGGTGAAGAATCCTTTTGTCATTATTGTCTGGTGCTACCTTTTTCTCTTTTTGTGAAAATAATATATGCTTAGGGGTCCACCATGTTTTGTGAACAAATTAATTAAAGCTATACTTAATAGATAATTAACATGCAGCAAATTAGTAGTTTTTGTTTTCTTGCTAATAGTCCAATATCAAGTGCCTCCCCACCTAACCACAAAATATATTGACATACTCAGAATAATATCACCTCCAATAGCAATTTAAAAATTTAATTTGAGCCACGAAATTTGAGAGCTTTTTTGATATATATTTCTTTTTCTAAATATATTTCGTTATCGAATTTCACTTAAAACACTTTATTGTGAAAAAAATCAAGCATTAAAGTGTTTTAATAAGGACAACATGGTAATCATAACAAAGTCTTCCTTAATTTATTAAAACAACTCTCCGGTGAAATAATGTCACATAAATTAGAACGGTATTAGTACTCTTTTCGTCAATTATTTTTTGTCATAATTTCTATTTTTAGAGTCAAACTATAAGAACCTAATATTTATTTTGTCATTATATTGATTTGCAATAAATTACAATTTGTAGTATTTTTCATTTTGTTTTTTTGAATATCTAAATTTTTTGTTTAAAATATCAAATTAATGTAATCTAATTTAACATTGAAAATTAATCAAATTAACTTTCGAAAAGCGTCATATGACAAATGAAAGTGGATAGAGGGAGTAGTACTTGATTCATTACAATAAAAAGAGATTTTATATCAACAATAATTATATACATTAGCAAAGAGTGTTTAAGAGTTTATTGCATTACTTGATTGTTATTGAATTCGACTTCGTTGCTTTAGGAATATTTACAAAAAGTATTATTTGTCTCTAAAAGTATATATTTAGCAACAATTAATCTAATGATAAATTATTACCACCCAAAATTACTTATATGATATAGTAGCTATATACCTCAATTCAATAATTTTGATGGTACGGCTAAATATATTATACAAATATGTGTCGTATTTTTATGTCAACACGCTTAATTTTATTTTAATATGAAGCCCAAAATGATGAATATATTCATCAAACTATTATCAAGTTAGGCATATCTAAGATTATTTTACAGACCATAGAGCAAAGCTATCAATCTATAAATGTGTTACTGCACAAAATTAATTGAAAGATCTACCAAACTAACCTAACCAATATTAAAATTATGATATAATTATAAGTAAAAATGTCCACACGCTTGGATTTTTGTCCATCAAAATTGCAATATTTGGTCTAAAAAGACAGCATATTTGTGCTTTTTGAGGTATCAATTCATCTGATGTTGCTCTTTATTCACTTATTCAATTTGCATATATTAAGTCAAATCGCAATATATTATGGTTGCTTCTTAAAATTAGTGTGTCTATCAATTTTATCATATCATAACATGTTTTAAATTTATAATAGCTTATGAATAAGCAATCGTCGAGTACTTAGTCAAAGAATTGAAGGCGGGGGTATGGAGGTACTGTTATAAGTTGTTTGGTATAGTAAATGCAGAAAAAACGGGTATCCTATTATTATATATAGGTATGTTAGGCAGTAGAAAAAAAGTTATTTATATTCAATGTATGTATATAAATAAGTTAAAATTTGAAATATAAATATCAAATGAAAAATCAAATTCTATATACATATCTATTGATTATTGAATACTAAACATGACTCAAATATGAGGTTCAAACGAAACTTAAAATAAAATCAATAAAAAAAAAACCTTTAGTTGGGATTCAATCTCTGTCTCAAAGATGATATATCTGGCTTGTACCAGCAGCACACAAGTACTTCTATGCTTCTCATGGCTTCACCTTTTAACTATATCCTAATTTTAATAACTTTTGTAAAATAGACATACCTATATATCTATTAGTTTTTCGAAAGTTAGCAGATGCACATACACTTCCTCTCCATAGTGCGGATCCGCCTATCTTATTAATGACTATATTGATGCTCTGATTTTCTTGAAAATGTATTTATTCTATTTACCTCTCTTTGCAGTTTAGGGCAGGAGCGGAGCTACATTGCATTAAGAGGTTTATCTAAATCCTCTTCGCCTGAAAATTATATTATCTATATATGATTAAAATAAATTTATATATATATATATATTATAAATGTCGAATTCGATATATCTATCAATTTCTATTTATGAACCTCCTTATTGAAAATTCTGACTTCGCCTCTGATTTAGGAATGGATGAAGTATGATAAATAAGAGATGTTGGAGGAAAAAGTTGATAGCTAGCTCGTACAACTTTTAAAGTGTTTGAAGGAATATATAAAGACGACGGATATTTTTATTTATTCAATAATTTTTTGTCTTAAAACTAATTAATTTTTGAAAGTATAAATATTGTAAGTTTCAACAAAAATATTCCTCTAATATTAATTTTGGTATGATGGACTATTAAATTAATAAAAATATCTTTATTATTTATGAATCTTCAATGGAGCTCAAGAAAAATATAGATAATAATATGAGATAGAAAAAGTATCTTTAGTGAAAATGGAAACAATAGGCAAGATTATTATGGCTGCCCAAGCCACCATTGATTATGCTTAATTGAATGATTAGGATTTATGCGTAAGGCATGAATCGAATTATCATAGGAAATATAAATTAACCACGTAAATACTTATATAATATCTCAAATGGTCACTTAATTATATATTATTTTCTTAAAAACTCAATCAACTTTCAATTTTAATTCAAAAGTCATTCAAGTATGTATTTTTTTCTTAGAAAATCATTCAACTTTGAGTTTTAATTTAAAAAATTACTTAACTATCCCCTTTTTCCTTAGAAAGTCACTCAATCTAATAATTATTTTTTTAATTAAAATTTGTTAATATTAATTATTTATATAACAAACAAAAATTTAAAAAATAAAAAATAATATTTAAATTATTTAGTAATTCATCCATCAAACCCATCCATTAAAAAATAATATGATTCACTTTATATTTTTTAATGGGTCGAATTAGATGAATGGATCACTAAATGATATTTTTTATCTTCTAAAATTTTGATTTGTTATATTAATTTTAACAAAATTTAATATAAAAAATTAATTAAATAGATTCAATGATTTTCCGAAAGAAAAAGAGATAATCTAATGCTTTTGAGTTAAAATTTTAAATTGAATAATTTTTTAAGAAAAAAAAAATTATTAAATAACTTTTGAATTAAAATTAAATGACTTTTTAAAATAAAAATGAATAGTCGAGTGAGCACGAGATATTAACTCTAATACTCTGCTATATAGACTCTTCTGACTTTTTGAGGCTACCTATAGTAATTTTATTTTTTAAGTATGAAATATTGTCTACGGGCAGACACAGGTGTCAGTACTTTAGGATATGTGACTCCTAAATTGGTAAAATCGTCAAATTTAAATTGGGCACTCCTAATCTTGTAGGACCTCATTATTATGATCGATTATATACCAACTCAAAATCTTTTACTCATTCTGATTTAAATTTGTCTGATATTTTTATTTAATATAATATAAATTAAGAAAATCAAAAGATTTGAATATTTGTGAATTAAAAATTAAAAAAGAGGACGTGTGTTAAATAGAAGAGGAAGACACATGCACTTTACAGGAAGAAAGATGCATGTCTTTAGACTTTAGCTTAAGATATTTGTATTACTTTCTTTCTCCATAAATTAAATAAATATCCACTCCAAACAACGAACAACCTTTTTTTTTTTAATCGTACATCACCGCTACGTACAGTTGACACCCACGAGAGAGCAAATATCCACCGTCTCTGTCACCATTATTTAAACTCCCAATGCCCAACCCTTCCCTTCCCACTTTCACTTCCCCTGTTTTTCTGTTTAAAAAAAAAATGGAAGGAAAAACTATTTCCCTTTCCTTCCTTTTACTTTCTCTCTTAGCCATTTCTGTCTCTTCCACTTCTCTTCAATACCATACATTACTTTTACATTCCCTTCCACTAACTCAACTTCAAAAATCTCTACATTTCGATGCTCAACTACTTTCCGGCGATGGCTCCGACCTCGATCCGGATAATGCTCTCTCTCTACAGTTGCATCATGTAGACTTAGTATCTCCTTCGTCCTTCAATGCTACACCACATGCGCTGTTTAAGCTCCGTCTACAACGTGACGCCTATAGAGCTAAGGCAATTTCTGACCTCGCCTCTGCTAACGCCACCGTTGGACGCCGTGCGGGTAAGCCTCATCCTGGTGGTAGGGATTTCTCTAGTTCTGTTGTTTCTGGACTGTCTCAGGGGAGTGGAGAGTATTTCACGCGAATCGGTGTTGGTACTCCTTCTAAGTATGTTTATATGGTGTTGGATACGGGAAGTGACGTCGTTTGGATCCAGTGTTCGCCTTGTAAAAAGTGCTACACTCAATCCGACCCGGTTTTTGACCCGAGTAAATCGTCTTCCTTCCTTGGTGTTGCATGTGGGTCGCCTTTGTGTCGTAGGTTGGATTCTGGTAGCTGTAACCGAAAGAAATGTCTTTATCAGGTTTCTTACGGAGACGGTTCTTTCACCGTCGGCGATTTTTCAACTGAAACGTTAACTTTCAGGGGGACACGCGTGAACAACGTGGCCCTTGGATGCGGCCACGATAACGAAGGTTTATTCGTCGGAGCCGCTGGTTTACTGGGTCTCGGCCGGGGTAGACTATCATTTCCGACTCAAGCTGGTCGGAGATTCGGCAGAAAATTCTCCTACTGCCTTGTCGACCGGTCCGCTTCCTCTAAACCATCCTATCTAGTCTTCGGCGAATCTGCAGTTTCTCGAACCGCTGTGTTTACCCCACTCGTCAAAAACCCAAAACTAGACACGTTTTACTACGTGGAGCTCACCGGATTCAGCGTCGGCGGCGCTAGGGTTCCTGCAATCAGGCCGTCGCTGTTCAAGCTAGACGCCGCTGGTGATGGTGGTGTGATAGTAGATTCAGGAACTTCAGTGACCCGATTGACCCGACCCGCTTACGTAGCTCTGAGGGACGCTTTCCGAATGGGTGCTAAAGATCTGAAAAGAGCACCCGATTTCTCATTGTTCGATACATGTTTCGATCTATCAGGGAAAACGGAAGTGAAGGTTCCGACAGTGGTTATGCATTTCCGTGGAGCTGACGTGTCATTGCCGGCGTCAAATTACTTGATTCCGGTGGACAGTGATGGGACATTCTGCTTTGCATTTGCCGGTACAATGAGTGGATTGTCGATTATCGGAAACATTCAGCAGCAAGGTTTCAGGGTAGTGTTCGATCTTGCTGGGAATCGCCTAGGCTTTGCTCCTCGTGGGTGCGCTTAAATTAACGAGAGATTATTATAAAATTGCTTCCAAATTCCCCAGTTTATTATATGTTTGATGATTTTTCTTTGGTTTGGGGTGTATTAGGAGAAGATAAAGGAACATGATTAGATGTTGTGTGTTTGTATTATGTGTTGTAATACAGGGTTAAGAGTATGTAGTGATAATTAGTGTAGATTTGTAACTCAAAACACTCTGTTTTCTGTAAGATGGGGCGAGGTTGATAGTAGCTGCAAAATGTGCGGCGCTGCTTAAACTTGCTATTGATTTATATATTTTTCTTTTTATGTTTTCATTTTATTGGAATTTCTGGGTCTGACAATTTTGATGATTTCGTTCAATATCAGTTGAAGAATTGGAGTAGCAATGAATAATAACTTCAAAATTTGTGGCCTAATGTAATCGTATGGACTAATTTTGTGACATTTAACACTACAATTGGTTGCGCAGTTAATGCAAAGTCGTACAGAAACAGAACAGCTCAAATATTTGTTTGGCAAAAAGAAATTCAACTTTTTTTTTCCACAAAGGGTATGAGTTTTGAATCATGAGAAAAGAGCATAAATCACAACCCACATTGTGTTTTTAGGTCATGAAGAGAGAGCTAAAATAATGTTCCAATTTATTTGCGTTACCTGCTTTTAGTTAGTTTGTCAATTTTTAAAATTTAATATTCTATAACTCCTATTTTGTTTTTGGATACTATCACCACCAAGATTTCTATAAAATAAAGAAGTCCCACTAGTGCAATTAAAAATTGTACAGTAAAACCTAAAAACCTCTGGATCTTAACGTCATACTCGTAGAGAATCGAATTAAATTAATTTAGGTATATAACTTTCTTTTTCTTGTTGATATTAAGGGTTGAACTTTTTTTACCAATTACTTATAGTTGATGATTTGTGAGAGCAATTTATGCGGATGTCAATCTTCCCAAGTTCCGAGCAAATTGCGGTGAATCAATGAGATTAGCCACTCTCTTGGGCCCCAACTCTTTCCTTTTTTTTTCTCTCTTTCTCACCATGCTGGGTGGGGTCTAAACAATTAATTAGGTACACGTATTTTATCATTATGTTCTAAATTACTTTATAAAAATCATAAGATTGTCCTATAAATTAAATCAGATGGTAGATATATAATTAATCATGTCACTGTATAGTATTGAGATGTGTAATTATTCTGAATCTACATGTACATGATCGAATTTTTTTCTTCTTCCAAGAAATAAGTTGTCCCATACTTTTTCGATCACATGTGGAATTTAGTTTGTTCATATGAAAATTTCTCTCAATCAATTGAATTCAAGTATAGCGTGTGAAAGTATTCTGTTTCTCATGTGATTAAAGATTCGGTGTAATCCTAGACTATAAATAATACACAAATAAAATGTATGACATTATTCATGCATCTAAAAGGCCTTTCTATTTTTAATACTAACTAAAACCAAAGATTCTAATTTATATACTTAATACAACATATATAGAATGTGAAAAGTGTTGCATGTTCCATGTTCCCATCGAAAACAATAATGTTTTTAAAGTGAATGAAACAAGTGTGTAAGGGTAAGGAGTAAGGACAATAATATCCGTAAGTTATGGGTACACTATTTATCGCCTGACATGAAAATAAAAATCTATCATGTGAAGATAAAATAGAAAAATAAGTAATCATTAATCTCTTACAAAGAGCCCCCATGTGGGTTTTGACAGACCATGTGCTCAAGTGTACAATATTATTGATCCGTAGCTAATAATCCATGAGTGTTTTTTCACCAACAATATAGGTGTCCCAAAAAACATTTATTGCTGATTTGAGCATTGTAATAAAGACATTCCTAGCAACCTTAAAAGGCCCGTTTGGTTATACATTTTTCAAATAATATTTAGAAAAAAATTTATCAAATAGTGTTTGTTTATACACTTTGTTATTATTTGATAAATATTTCAAATTTTTAAATATTAGTTTTTTCCGAGTATTTGACCCAAATCTCATTATTTGGGATTTTTTATAAATTGAAATTTTATCCCAAACTTTTATTTTTTACAAAAACACCCTCTATAGTTGTTGATTGCGTTATATTACATAATTTTTTACATTAACACCAAAATAGTGATGAAATATTTAGTGAATGAAATGATGATATGGTTATTGATGAAAATTATGAACAATCAGCTAAAGATAAACAAATCATGTGCTTTGTCTACTTCATGATGTATGGAATGATGCTTGTTGCACTCACTCCAAATTATCACATTGCTCTAGTGTCATGAACACTATTTGTTATTGTTGTAACGAAGATCCAATTGACTCGTAATACAAACTTATGGTCTAGTTTTGATAGTTTCTAAAACTTTTATGGGTATAAATCATATTTTTCTAAAAAAGTGAAATATATTTCCCAAATACTATGAACAAACACGTGGTGAAATTTCATTCAAGTTTTCATCCAAATAATATTTGAAAATTTATGGTCAAAAACTAGCTTGTACGATAAAATGTGGAGGGGTGTGTGTACATGTACAAATGTAAGGGTTTCTCCTTTTTTTTTCTCCTTATAAGTAAGAGTTCGGATACGCGTCATTACGCTTATTTCATTTTATGATAAGTTGAAATTTTAAATTCTCTAAAAATATTATTAGGGCATTTGAATTTATGATTTGAGATTTTTGAAATATAATAATTAATTCACAACTTGGAGAAATTTTCTCTCGTTCTCTTTGTTTAAGACAATTGTTTAGATTTCAGTTTTTTAAGGCTTGTGGATCTTTTAAACAACATGGTAGAGATCTCTTAGAGCGAACAAAATGTATAACTACGTAAAATATTTGTTGTGCAAACTTTCACAATTGGTTAGTGATATGGACTCAATTGGATCTAAGGCTAAAGATTTGGATCTGTACACTACATTGGGCTCTGTTGTTTTGGGATCTGAGTCGGGCTTTCATATTACATCCAGAATTGGGAAACTTACGTAAATATAGAATATTAAGAAAATATTTATTATTTATAGTAATAATAATTTTTTTTATTTGATCACTTTTAATATATCAATAATATAATTTTAATTTATATTACAAAAAATGGTATATTAAATGCATATATAATACAAGTTTAATACATATATATTGCATACATAATTTACTTTTAATACATATTACAAATTTAACATAGTATTGTTATTTGTTGCTATAAATGGTAATAAATGAAAAATATCAGTAAAATTAGTAATTATTATCATTTGTAGAAATAAATAACAATACTATGATAAATTTTTTCTGTAATACGAATTAAAGTTGTATTTGATGTATTAAAAGTGATCAAGTGAAAAAAAATTATTATTACTATAAATATTAAATATTTTCTTAATATTGTATATTTATATAAGTTTCCCTACTTTTTTCGTTTAGAAAAAAAATAAAGAAAAATTTTCAATTTGTGATTTTAAGTTAAATATTTATATCAAATGTATCAAAATGATTTTTATATTTATGGCCTTAAAAAATATCACGTGAAAAATTAAAACTAAATATTACTAAAATAAAAAGAGATGTCATGATTTTTGAAACACACTAAAAAAGGAAAAAGAGTTATTTTTTTTAACGACGAGAATGCTATTCTTAACTATACTTTATTCTCTCGTCTCTCTTGCCTCTTGCCTTTTTCATTCTAATTTTTTTTTTGTATGTTAGACTTTATTTCTGTATTTTGAAAGAGATTCTTTTGACAAATCTTTATATTTTCTGTGATTTTTTTATTTAATTTTGGACCTCAAAACTTTTTGCAAATCTTTGTTGTATTTTTGTATTTCACTTATATTCTCGGCAATTACTGAATTTTTATACTTTTTTTTTAATTATATAATTTTTTTGTATTGGTATGTGACTTTGTTTTTTACCTTTAAAATAAAAAATAATGTATGCATCAGCTTTGTGTATTATCATACATTGTTTGACACTGTTTTTCAATTAATGTATAATTAATGTTTGCATTAATTATACTCTCTATTCTTTATTAAAATGTGTATTGGAAATGTCATGGACTTCTAGGTATTAACAATGCAATGATTTTTGATGGATGCATTAACTCAATTGGAGATTCAATTGTCCCTCAATACCTTTTTTAATATTTTTTTTTATCATAATAGTGAAGGATATCTTTGTAAATAATTTTTTCAATGCAATGCATTTTACTTGTAATGCATCAAACCAAACAATGTATAAAAATAATCTATTTATAATCAACGCAAACATAGCTAATACAGGCATTGCTAATGCAAGCATTACTAATACACTCTATTTATCAACATTTTTATACACTCTATCAAACGATCCATGTATACCATGTAAAATTAAGTAAACGTATACAACCTATTGTGATTGTACCAATTAAGATTGTATGCATTGATACAATTATTAGAGCGAATAAATATAAGTTTTATAAATTGATAATAATTGATATATCAGTTCGAATAAATACAAACTGATAACAATTGATACAATATAGCGAAAGAATAGAAATAATGCAAGAACGAATGAATATCTAAAAAAAATTCAAAACTTTCGTCATAGTTATAAGATAAAAAATTTCTAATGAGATAACTTACCCATCAATATAATTAAATCAATGAAACGAATCAATATTTTAACTAAATACAAATTAAAATTTTATGATGAAATTCTTTTTCGGTGTTAAGGCACCCTTTAATTATGTTTGCACCAAAAGTGAGAACTAAATGACACCGTTTGGCTAAAGTTGTTGGTGGTTAAAGTTAGTTAGGGATTAATTAATTAATTACGCGCAAGAAACCCTCTTCTCCAAGATAAATGTTTTGACTAAAGAGGAATAGTAGAATGCGATAAACCTAAATTTTGTTGAATTTTTCATTTACGGATACCGAAATTGGAGATAACTCCGGCAACGGCGATGGAGGAAGAAAAAGATAAAATGGTGGTAGCAGGGTTAATTGATAAAGCCACCAACTCCACCAGACCAGAAGTGGAGCCCCGACTTCTCAAATCCATCAAATCGGTGGTCCGTTCCTCTGATTCCGAGCTCCGACTCGCTGCGCAAACCCTAATTTCCCTCATGAAACGTGACCACTCTCAGGTTCGTTCACCCCTAATCCTTCTTAAAACCCTAATTTAATCTTTTAACTCAAATTATTTAGTACCGGTGTTCTTTATTAACTAGAAATGGTGTTGTAATTTTGGGCTTTCCAAAGTTTGTATCTTTGATGCTATGGTAAGTAAGAACCTGCACCTTTTTCTTGTTATGGTAATTAAGCTAGCAGCTTATACCGAGACCTT